CAGCGGTTCGAAACTACCAGCTGCTCCGCGGGAGAAAGATGAGGCTTTCTACTCCCGTAAAGATTTACACCCTCGGAAACCCTATACAGGGTCGCTATGGGTCGGAACCGACTCAATGGCACATAACAACAACAACAATAGTCCTCTAAGGATGAGACCTCCACTGCCTCCCCCCGCCGGTCTGTTCATACACACACTTGTAGCAGGAGACCCCATCCTGGTGCTAGATCCAACCTGCGCTTCTGCTAGGGTATTGGGGAGGGGGTGGTGCTCCTTGCTTCTCCCAGCAGTCTTCACTGCCTGGAAACACATAGTACCCGAGCCCCTATGGTATTGGTGGACCCCACTGTGCCCCAACCCATGCTCCTGGGAAACTTGGGACATGAGGGTCCCTGCCAGGAGCACCCCCGCAAAGGAGTTGTGGCCCCACCCTATCAGCAAGCTCCTGTCAGAGTTGGAGACGGTTTCCTCTCCTTAGAGTCCGATGGTTTTGGTCCTTCATCCAGAGTGTGGTCCGCACCTACTGAGTGAGGAAGAAGCCCATGTTTCTGCGTTGGGTGCTCTCAGAGAAGAAAGCAGAACAGGGATTGATTAAGTCCTGGTCTGGGGCAGAGCTGAAGAAATACAATGACGCAGATAAACCAACTCATGCCAGGGGTTGGCTGGAAGGGGCCCCACTAGACTCCTGATGTACTGGGTGGTCCCAGGCAATGAGGGTGTCCGTCTGGTCTACCCAGAGACTCCATGAGTGGGGCAGAGTGCTGTCCTGAGCCAGGCCTGAGGACCGGTCATCAGGAGCCCAAACTGTGCTGTAGTTTCTAGAGTTGGCAAGAGCAGGACTGGGATGGGGGCTCAAAGGGGCTTTGTCTTCCTCACACTCTGCTCCCCCTGGCCCTGCAGCCCCCAAGCAGAGGTGAACAGATGCAACTTCTATCAAGGCAATGTGTCTTACCTTTCCAGCTGTGTGACCTCAGGCAAGTGACTTGACTTCTCTGAGCCTCCATTGTGCATCTAGAAAATGGTACTACACCTAGGGTTTTCTGGGGTCTCTGCTCCAGACTAGGCCTCCCCCACTGGGCCAGGGAAGCTCCTTGGACCTGGTTGCTGCTCTGAGGTACATAATTAGAGTGAGTTTGGGGCAGAGAGCCAACACCACATCTGACAGTGCCCCCCGGATGGCTGGGACCACATCATAGGCACCTCCTCGGCCCCCTCCCCTGTCCCATCCACTCCCGTGTAGGGAAGGGCTAGAGGTTCAGGACCTGAATCCAAGAGGGGCAGGTCACCAGGGTCATCCAGGTACCAGATGAGGCAGGAAGGGGCCCAAGCCGAGATCCTGGGACATGGTGAGGGGGCTGGGCCAGCCTGAGGGTGTCCAGAAGGGTCTGGAACAGACTAATTATCAAATGACCACAGTGGCCATTTGGAAGCAATTACCAGGGTCCTTATTACCACATTACATACCCCCACCTGGCTCGATATCGAAGGGGAAGGCTGGGCCACAGCGTGGGTTCCTTAGGAAGCTGGAGAAACTGGGTGTCCCATCCACAGGTCTGAGTGTCCTGGGCTTCCGGTCCCAGAAAAACCCTGGTTGAGAAATGGGGGGTGGAGGTGGAGGGTGGAGGGATGACTGAGACAGAGGCTTAGGATCACCAGCTACCAGTGTAAACTTCATCCACTGGGTCAGCTTTGGGATCCCCTAAAACTCCTTAGGCTCTGCTGTGGAGAGTGGGTTGGAGGGCTAGCTGCCACCAGGACCCCCAGAAGCAGGGGAAAGGCACAGCTCAGCAGCTTTGCTATTTTAAGGTGCCGTCAAATTGGTTCCGACTCATAGTGACACTGTACAGGGGTACCGAGGAGCAGCTGGTAGCTTTGAACCGCCAACGTTTTTGTTTGAACTGACCTTATAATTCAGTGCATTATGCTGCAGCATCACACCAGAATTCCATCCTCACTAAAACCACATTAACCAACTAACTGACCAGCTAACGAACTTGTCTCACTGACACGAGTACCACTGAGAAGGGGCCTCAACTGTGTGCCTGCTGTCCGTGTTTAGTTGGTGGACAGTAGCCTCACTCACTGTCTACAGCATCCCGGGTAAAGAATCCGGTTTTGATGGTGGTGATTGTTTCTTGTTGCCTCGGACTCATGGGACCCCATGCACGAATGTGGTCAGACTGGTGTGATCCACAGGGTTTCTGGGGCTGATTTTCAGCCATAAATTACCAGGCCTTTATTCCACCTTTGTCTGTTCAGCATCCTAGGAACACGCAAGTCTCCAACGACAGACAGGCAGTGGCTGCATTTGAGACGCATTGGCTGGGAATCGAACCCAGGTCTCCTGTGTGGAAGGCCAGAATTCTAGTCAAGTTCCTATTTCTGGGGCACAGTCTGTGTTTGACACGGTGGCTGGAACCATGGCAACCTTAATCCATTGAGTGTCTTAAGCTACTGTTGGGACATGAACGTAGTGGTTACGAATCGGGCTGCGAACCTCAAGGTCGGCAGTTCGAAACTATCAGCCGTTCCATGGGAGAAAGAGGAGGCTTTCTGCTCCCGTAAAGACGGACAGCCTCGGAAACCCTGTACAGGGTCACTGTGAGTTGGAACCGGAGCCGACTCCACAGCACGCAACCACCACCACCACCAACCTGGGCCTCAGAGGTCACGTGGCAAAGAAGTGGGGGAACCCACCCTTCCTTCTTCCCTTCCATTCTCCAAGCCTCCTCCCTCTGCCCCTCCCTCCTCCTCCCTCCTCTTCTCTCTCTTTTCTTCCTTATTTCAGTGGAGTGGCTACTTGCTGGGAGCTGTCTAGAAGCAATGGAGACAATAATGAACAAAACCCAGGAGTCTCCGGCCCTCAGAGCTGCCCTCCTCTGCAGAGAAACCACTCTCGGATCCCTGCCCCCACTCTGGGTCCCGGGTTGGGGTGGGGGACAGACAGAGCTGACCCACAGTGAGTGGGACCAGAGACAGTTTCCCAGGGCATGCCCTGTTCACCAAGGAAGACTAATCCCCAAAGCCCCCCATCTCTCGGCACCTCTCACCCTTCCAGAGGGGTCCTGTGCAGGAAACAGGGGTGTCCAAAATCCTGCCCCCTCCCTCAGGTCTCTATCTCTGTGTTTTATCCTGTCTCTTCTCTCTCTGTGTCTCTGCCTTCCTCCCCCATGCTTGTTTCACAGTCTCTCTGAATTTCTTGCTCTCCCTTCTTGAGAAATGTATCCAGGGGACCTGGCCACCAGAAGTGGGCCATTGTTTAGAGTGAGCACCCCACATGATGCATCTCCTGCATCTGTCAAGAAGTGATCAGCAGGCAGAAGCCTTGGGTGCTAGTCTCTGTCCCCTGAAAGTGGCTCTATTGCTAAGGGTCTATGGGCTGCTATTTGGGGTCTCAAAATCCTGCTGCAGACAGCCTCTGCCCGGAGTTCCTGTCTAGGGCCTGAGGTCTTGAAGGTACCTGTTCCCAGGAGACCACTAAGGCAGGGGGCAGTCTGGAGTGGCTCTATTTGTACGAGGCCACAGGCGGTTACAAATGTCCCAACGGCATGGGCTAGAGAACCCTCTCAACAGGCCCCTGATGCCAGGGACCCTCCCGCCTCCCCTGGGCAGGGGCAGGATCTCCTCAGAAGGGAGGAATGCAGCTGACACAGAGCCCCAGGGTGCAAGCCTCCTTCTTGCTGCAGTTCAGGCCTCACTGAGGATAGAGACCCAGAGGGATCAAAGGATCAGAATTGGGTGCTGGATTGCCACAACTCTATCTGGGGACCCACATCTAAGCTGATTTGGGGCTCTGCTGCAACCCTTTTCCAGGGTCCCATCCAGGGCAGGTACACTGAAGCGCTGGCCAAAAACGCAGGGACTCCTGGGTTATTTGCTTTGCCCCCTTCTCTCCCTTCTCTGTCAGTTTTCAGAGATGGCTGTGCCCCCCACCCCCACCCCCACCCCCGGCTTCCAGTGCTCTGTCTCCTTGTGGATCTCTCTAATGTCCTGGTCTCTTTCCCCCCACCTCCCATCTCTCCTCTGTCTCTTTCTCTGTCTCTGTGTATCTCTGTCTCTTTCCCACCTCCACCTCCCAGCCCATCTCTGGGGCCCACCGTTGGGAAAGGACCCGCAGCGACCGACTGACAAGCACAAATACCGCCTGCCTGGAGCTGCTCTTTTGGGGTGCTAAGAAGATGACGCCCCTCCGGCCAATCCGCCACTCGGACCTCAGAGAACAGCGCCCCGCTCGGAGAACAGTGTCCCTGGCACGGACACAAACCGGGGTCCCCACGAGCACCCGCATCGACCCCCCCGCCGCCGCCCTCCGAGGCTCCCCTCATTATGCGCCGCTTTTCAAGAGCGTTCGTCAGCGAGACTTCCCCGCAAGTTGTTTTCGCGGACATCAGTCATCGGCGGCGTCCCCATTGTGCAAGGGGATTGACGGGGGGCGGGAGGGGGTGACAGGGCCTGGGGCGGCCGCCTCGAGGCCTCGGTCTATAATTTTCGGAGACATAATTGGCCTGGGGGAGGGGGGCGGGGGCGGGGCGGGGACCTTTCAGAACCGGGAGGGCGCACGGGGGCGCGGGGCGCGCGGCGGCAAGAGCCGGGGCTCGACGGCGCTTCTCGGGGACGCAAGTGTGCGGGGCGGCGCTGTCCGGACCCCAAGCCCCACCGGCTCCCGCCCGCGCCTCCCGCCCCGCCCGCTGCCGCTGGAGAGCGCAGCGGCCTTTTGTTGCGGACCCGGCTTTTCTTTCTGGTCTTTGCGCTGTCACCGGGAAGTCACCGGCTCCGGTGTGGAAATTGAAGGGTTTCTGGATCTTGCTCGCTCTCTCGCGCTCGCTCCCTCCCTGACACCCTCTCCCCGCCCCTCATCCCCGCCTAGCCCCCAGTGCGCCCGACCAAGCGCGGGGGCGTCTCCGCGCCGGGCCTCTCCGCCGCCCACCCTCCATGGGCGCCGCGCTGGCCTGCAGCCGCCGCCGCCGCCGCCGCCGCCCCGGGGCGCGCGCGCTGCCGCCATGGCCCTGATTTGGCTCCTGCTGTTCAGCCTGCTGGAGCCCTGCTGGCCCGCAGCGGGCCCCGGAGCGCGGCTGCAGCGCGATGCGGGCGGCCGCGGCGGCGTTTACGAGCACCTCGGGGGAGCGCCCAGGCGCCGCAAACTCTACTGCGCCACCAAGTACCACCTGCAACTGCACCCGAGTGGCGGCGTCAACGGCAGCCTGGAAGACAGCGCCTACAGTGAGTGTCCGGCCCGGCCCCGCCGAGGGTCCCGCGGGTGGGAGCAGCGTCCCCAGAGATGCTCGCACTCCAGGGAGGGGACGGCACGCCAAGGTGCCTTAGGGCGCGCGGGCCGCTTCGCCCCTACCAGACGGAGTCCTTACCTTCTTCCCCGTCCGGGACAGGAGCGCGCTAGGGTTTGAGGGGATGGGAAAGTGGCGTCCAGAAGACCTGGCGGCCGCTCCCTGTAGCAACGAGCTGGCTGCGTTCGAGGGTTTTGCGGGACGCGACTCGGGCTATCGCTCTGCGGGGTCCCCAGCTCTGACAAGTATACGTATTTTGAGTTTGTCGGAGAAAAGACACTGGACAAGACATTCATCATCCTCTTTATTATTCTGACGACTTCTCCTCTTCCTGGCGACCCCGGGCGTCCTGCCGCCCTCTCCGCCCTCCTGGAACGCGGCCGCCCAGGAGGCCACTACCGCCACTGCGTAAGGATGCACGTCCGGGCAGAGTAGGGCACCAGAACTAAGGCATCAATCACCCACAGTCAGGCAACAGATAGGCTGACTCCGCACCCCACCTGTCACCGCTGCCGCGGGGGTAGGGGACTGCGTGATGCGCGACCTGAGCTGGAAGGGACGTTCTTCCGAATCTGGAACGCAGAGACACTGCACCCCGCAGCCAGGACGCACAGCCGATAGTGTGTGCGGCGGAGACCCGCGAAGCCCCAGGATTTGGCTCCTCCAAGTTCGGGACCTTGGCCTCGGGGCCAAGCTGCGCCCTGCGGGCGAGCTTGCAACTCGGAGCGCACCTCCAGGGGTCCTGACGCAGTTCTGCTGGGTGGGAGTAGGAGAGCAGGGGGATCGGGATGTGGGGGGGCGTGAGAGTGTGGCGGGGGTTGCCAGGGCCTCCTCTGCGAGGTTCTGAGGTTCAGGCGTGAGAAACGGCGTGGCGCATCCAAGGCGGAAGCGAGAGACCGCACCCGGTGCGGGCGTGTGCCGGGGAAGCGCCCGAGTTGAGCGGGACTAGTTGTCGCCTAGGAGGTCCCCTCACATAGGTCTTGGCTCCCTTCTCGGAGTCGTGGAGAGCCGAGTCTAAACGCCTTAGGGAAACCGGGGAGAGCTGTTCAGAAGTGGAGGGAGGACGCGTCCCGCAATCAGACGTGTGATTCATTCTCTGGGCACTGGAGTTCGCCAGGCCTGCGCCAGGGACACTTAAGAGGCGCGCAGCCTGCACCTCAGCGCGCGGGCCAGTCTCTGGTGGTTCCGCACTTGAGCCCCGAGAACAAGATGCGGCTGGACTTGAGCCTCAGGAGAGGTGTCCGTTGTAGAGGGCTGGCTGACGCCCCAACTCTTTCTGAGCCACTCTCGGGGGACGATGGCCCCGCCCGAGCCTTTGTTGGCAGCCCTAGAGAAAAAGCGCTTTGTGTCTGGAAAGACAAACGTTAGGTGAGATTGAAATGTCATTACTACAGTGGAAAGTGAGTAAACCCTGCCCAGTTCAAGGTTGTTGTTGTTGTTGTTGTTAAGTGCCATCGAGTCGGGTCCGACCCATAGCGACCCTGTACAGGGTTTCCGAGGGTGTAAATCTTTACGGGAGTAGAAAGCCTCATCTTTCTCCCGCGGAGCGGCTGGTAGTTTCGAACCGCTGACCTTAAGGTTCGCAGCCCGATTCGTAACCACTACGCTACCAGAGCTCCTTCCTATTGGAAGCTTGGGGTCTAATCTGACTTCCAGACCCCACAGCCTGAGGATTTGGGACCCCTCCGCCCAGAAGGATATTCTACCCAAGTCCAGCGCCGGATGTGTTTAGGTACTGACCTAGTGGATTTTATTATCAAATGGCACCAGACCGTTTTTCACCAGGAGGATCATTTAAGAGCTCAGCTTTCAGTTTCTGCATTCCAGTATCTGAATTCCAGCCCACACGTGTGTTCTGGTGGTCTTGGGCCCATCCCCTAACCTCAGTGGTTGAGAGTCTCAAGTGAGCCACTAAAGCTCAACAAGCCTGTTAAAGCTCACTGTACCTGTTAAAGACTTTGTTGTTGTTGTTGTTGTTAAGTGCTGTGGAGTCGGTTCTGACCCATAACGACCCTGTACAGGGTTTCCGAGGAGCAGCTGGTGAGCTTGAACCGCTGACCTTGCAGTTCAAAAGGCTTTGCAGTCTGGCGCATTAACCCACAGCGCCACACCAGGACACCAGACTTGGGCCCCTGTAAATGTTAATTGTGTCTTCCAGTCTCTGGTTGAAATTCTTCTCTACCTTCCCCAGAACTTCTAAATCCACCCCCCTTTCTCTTCCTGTTGGGTGTGTGTTGCTTTCAGCACCCCTCAAACTTGGACACAGCTTGGAGCCAGGCTAGAGATACTCTGTGGGAGGGGAGGAATGACAGGCCTCTGGACTCTTCCCAGGTCTCTTGGAGATCACTGCTGTGGAGGTGGGCATTGTGGCCATCAAGGGACTCTTCTCAGGGCGGTACCTGGCCATGAACAAGAGAGGACGCCTCTACGCCTCGGTGAGTCCAGCCTCCTGCGTGGGTGGGCACTGATGTAGCCTCACAGAAGGGGATGAGATGCAAGGGCATCAAACGCTTCACCCAGGACTGTGTAGGACCAAGCGTGGCCACTGAGGCTCCTGCCCAAGTGCTCTCTCTCCCCAGCCGCTTCTGTTAGAAGTGGCTGCCAGGTTGAGCCGCTTGGAGCATGACCTTTGGACAGGGTTACGCTGGGGTGTGACAGCTTAGAAAATGTGCTCTCAGTACCTTGTTGTCATCCCCGCTGTCCTTCCCTGCAGGATGCTGAGACCAGGGCATGGATTACCCCCAAAATGTCCAGAAACAAAGTGACCCAAGCAAGTCTCAGAGTGGGCTAAAGCTCTTTCTTCAGCTCAGTGGTGAAACAGTCAGGTTTTCTGCAAGGGCGGGTGGGGACCACTGTCCCAGGCACAAGGCCTCCTCGAGCCTGGATGGGAAGCTCTATCTAGGCCTCCATGCCACAAAAGTGGGGTCTTGTGATTCCATGGGTGTTGGCTACGTCCCCACTCCAAGGCTTGGGAGTGGGTAATACTTGGGGTATAATATATATAACTAGGAAATTTGCTACCTCCAACTAGTTATTACAAGCAACCCCGCTGATACCTCCTTGGGCAATAAGAGGTTTTCCATCCACACGTAGCCTAGACGACGCTGCCACGCCCCCATCCTCTGGCAGTTACTGCTCTTTATTCAGTGACATTTGTAGGGAGGGGAAACAGACCCAAATTCCCCTGCCCTCTTTGAAGTCAGGCAAAGCGAGCTCCGGAGGAGCAGTGCAGGGAAGACCTCCTTGAAGTCCACTCTGTCACAGGTTTGGGCTGTTTTGCTACAGGAAATGCATGGATTGGAATGTGTCCGTTTGTTTTCTCAACCAGGGGCCTCTATTCAGAAGTTTTGTGTGAGACCAGAGACCCTCCTGGTGCCCAGTCTCTTTTGCATGTGTTTCCAGAGTCTCTAAACTTCAGTTGCTGTTTATAAAGAAAGCCTTTTTGCCCAGAGTCAAGGCTGAGTTTGTCTTGAGGGGCAGTGTAGCTCCCCAAGTCCTTGGGATCCTAGATCTAGCGCAGGAAGAGGGGAACTGACCTTGTTATTCTTGAAATGGCCTCCAGCCATCCATAAATGGTTCTTATCCCTTAGAAAGAGGGGACTCACCCATCCAGCCACCCATCCGTCTATCTGCCCACGCAACTATCTACCTATCCATCCACCCATCTATCCACCCATCCATCCATTTACCCATCCATCCACCCATCTATCCACCCATCCATCCATTCACTCATCCACCCACTCATCCATCCATCCATCCACCCAACATCCATCCATCCATCCAACATACATCCATCCACCCATCCATCCATCCATCCATCCATCCATCCATCCATCCATCCATCCATTCATCTATTCATCCACCCACCTATCCATTTATCTATCCATCCACCCATCCATCCATTCAGCCATCCATCCATCCATCCACCATCCATCCATCCACCATCCATCCATCCATCCATCCATCCATCCATCCATCCATTCATCCATCCATTCATCCATCATCCATCCACCATCCGTCTATCCATCCATCCATCCATCCATCCATTCATCCATCCAACATCCATCCACCCATCTATCCATCTATCCATCCACCCATCCATTCATCCATTCATTCATCCACCCATCCATCTATCTATCCATCTGCCCATCTACCCATTCACCCACCCATCCATCCTGACCATCATGGGGGGTTTCTGTCTCCACCAGAGAAGTTCCTAAAAAGGAACAGGGAGGGTTGTTTCAAGTGGGGAAGTCAAGGCCTTCTGACACCTTTTCCCACAGGGAACCCAGACCTAGGTCTTTGGGAGACAGTACAAAGCATGACCTGGAGATAACAATGGGTCAGGGTCCACCTATGGCCTTCTTTGCTTAGAGATGACCTGCTTGGCTTTGAGGAAAGGGGAAATGTTCCCAATCCCACCAGGTAATGGGGAAGCCAGGGAAAGCCAGGCAAAAATGTTCAAAGTGACCAGCAGGAAAGGTCTCTCTGCCCTGTAGGTAACGTTGTTATGTGCCGTGGAGTTGGTTCCGGCTCATAAAGACCCTGTACAGGGTGTCCGAGGCTGTAAATCTTTACAGGAGCAGAAAGTCTCATCTTTCTCCCATGGACCAGCTGGTAGTTCCGAACTGCTGACCTTGAGATTCACAGCCCGATTCATAACTACTACACTACCAGAGTGTAGGAAGTGCCATTCCTGTCACTTGGTGCCCAAGTCTCTCATTCTGCGCTTCCATCCATCTGCCTCTTGGCTGTCTTGGACATTGATTCTCATTCCTCCCTGCTGCTAATCGTTGTCCACGGGTCAGTGATCATCACATACCAATGACAGTTCCCTCACCTTCTTTAGCTTTATTGTGAAGTTTCCAAAGTCTGAGTGGTCCAAGGACCTCAGGTAGAGAGCAGCACATCCCAAGTGAGCTCATTGGTTTCCTTGTTTCCAACTGAATTACCGCCCCATTACTCAAACTCAAGTTCAATTAGGTGACAAGGGAGGCACTTTCCTCCTTCTCATCAGTCTGTATTCAAGTCCTTAGACTCTACTCTTGAATGTCCCCAATGCACATCCTTTATCACCCTCCACCTTACACTCAGGCCAGCGCCCTAAACTCAGATGCTCATATATCTCACCTCCCATTGTAACAGCCATGGGACTGGGCTTCTGGACTCTTTCTCTTCCTTCTTAGGTCTATCTACCTATCTCTCTACTCATCTGTACTGCCATTGATCTACCCATCCATCTGTAGTTCATCCATTCATCATCCACTCATACATCCATCTGCCTATCCATCCATGCATCTATACATCCATTCACTAATCTTTCAATCATCCATCCATTTATTCTGCCATTCATCCAGCCACTATCCACTCATCTATCTATCCATCACTGTTCCATCATTCATCAATTATCCATCCATTCATCCATCAGCCATTCATCCATGTACTCTTCTATTCATCATCCATCAATCATCCCCCTATCCACCCATCCATCCGTCAATCATCCATCCATCCACCAATCCAACCCCTCAGTCATCTACCTATGTATCCATCCATCAATCATTTATCACTCCTCCATCCATCAGTCATCCACCAACCCATCCATCATCCACCCACTCATCCATCATCACTCCACCCAACCATTAGCCATTTTATTCCTTCATCCATCAGTCAAATATTTCATGGGCAGTTGCCACACTCTGGGGTTAGTTCTTGCCTGCAGGATCTTCCTAAAATGCAAATCTGATCACATTCTGGCCACTGAGGACTCCCCATCATCATCAAATCATCATCCAAGCACCTTCACTCAGCCAATCCAGGAGCTGGTTCAGACCACCTTCTGCTCCATCTTCCATGACATCTCATCCATTCATCCATCCATCCATTCATCCATCCATCCATCCATCCATCCATCCATCCATCCATCCATCCATCCATCATTCCATGACCATCATTCCATGACATCTCTCAACTGCAGCCGCCAAACATCTCCTGGGTCTCCAAGCTAGTCATGTTGTTCCCTGCTCTATGACTTTGCCTGTATCATCACTATCTGAAATGCCCACCTAGAAAGAGCTCCCCGTCCCTTCTAAGGTCACCTCTCTGGTTAGAGCTGCTTCCTCCTCATACTGTCACCTCCACCCTTCCCAACCTGACCTCTAGAGCCTGTTCTTCATGCCCAGTTGCTCAGCCCTGCTCAGACCAGTTTTCCCACGGAGCTCCATGTGCCAGGGAAGTCTGAACAGGAAGTAAGTGGAGCTGACATGGGTGTATCTTGAGGAAGGGGGTTGTTTATATGAACAGAGGGACTGTGAGGGATGGGGAAATTTTCAACTGCAGGAATCCAGGCTAAGCTGGCACTATCCTCCCTGGTCTGGTGCTGTACTTAACCCTGAGACCCTGGACCTCTTACCCCTTGAGGAGCAGAGACCTGTGACCCTCAACTGTTCCACAAATGTCCCTGCAAAGAGAAAGTCTCCCCTTGGCTTTGCTGGTCCATGGGCACTGGCTCCAAGGGGACGGGTCTCCTCAGGACTAAGGGTCTGGGGTGGAGGGCAGGATTGGGGACTACTTATTGTCTAGTGTGGGAGCTTGGGGGTTTCCCTGAGCCCACTTAGTCACAAGCCCGAGGAACCCTGAGCTCACTCACTCACACCCAGAGAGAGGTGAGTAGGGTCAGCACAGGCAAGACTAATACTATGTTCCTCATGCCTTGGTGCCTGCTCCCCACCCAGGCCTTCGTGTTCCCATGTCTAAGCACTCAGGGTCCCTGGTGGCAGCAACTTCCTTTAAGACTTTACTCTGGCTCGCTCCTTCCTCATGCCCTGCACAACCTGCTGGACCCCAATTCTTAGTCTCGCAGGGTCCCCACTGACCCCCACTGTTGATGTGGATTTCTTCCACACCCCAGCATTCGTCTGTGACATGTGTTGAACATGGACTTGAGGTTGGGCTCCTGACTTCACCCTGCAGGCAGGACCTCTGGCCCCTACCCTCAGGATGAGGAGAACGAGGCTCAGAGCTCAAGGACCAGGGCTGGGACTTGAACTCGACATCTAACCAGAGGACTGTGTTCCAGCCCCGCTAGTTCTGCTCACTATTTTATGCAGTATCTTCAGAAGAAATCTGGGCAGCCATCTTGTCTCTGTCCAGATGTCCAGTCCTGCTGGTGTCCAGCTGTGCAGTCCCAATGATGAGGACCCCTGTATCATCAGGCCCACCTCTGCCCTCAGTCAGTGCCCTCAGCGAGGGGGGTGAGCAGAGGCTAGGGAGCTCAGAGAGGAGAGGCAGGGAGCACTCCTTCCTAAAAGGGTTCTAAAGCCCTCAGACACCTCAGTGCTATAACAAGAACCTCCAACTGGGCACCCTAAGATGACCAAAATCTATGCTGTCTCGGTTCTGGAGACCAGGAGGCCCAGTTCAAGGTATCAACAGGGCCCTGCCCCTTCTGAAGCTTCCAGGGGAGGGTCCCTTGTCTCTGCTCCGGAATGTTCCAGCAGTCCTTGGCTTGTGACTGCATCATTCCAACCTCTATGTCTTTCTGTCTGTGTCTCTCCTCTCCCTGTAAAACCCACTGCATCTGACTCATAGCAACCTGTAGGACTGCTCCTCTCGTGCAGAACAGTGGGTGGGTTTGAACCACCAGACACACACGTTAGATTAGGGTTGAAATCAATGTGTCCTGCTCCCTCTGAAAGCTTCAGGGAGGGTCCTTCTTTGCTTCCTCCAGCTTCTGGAGGCTCCGGAGATAACCGGCTTGTGGCCACCTCACTCCAGTCTCGGCTGTCTCCTTTGGGTCTGTCTGTCCTTACCTCGTTTCTTACCTGTGTCTCTCTGTATCTCTGCTTTTTGTACAAGGACAGCAACCATGTAGGATTGAAAGCCCACCCGAGTTCAGTATGACCTCAACTGATGAGACCCTATCTCTAAATAAGGTCACATTTACAGGGACCTGAACATAGTTTATGGGGACAGATTCACCTTACAAACAGGAAGCAATGCCGGAACTGAATCCTGGAGGTCAAGCTGACCAAAAAACAGGGCTGCTGGACACGTGTGTGTGTGTGTGTGTGCATTGAGGGGTGAGAACACACTGCATGTCAGGGTCTCACCCCTCCCCTGAGTCACCCTTCAGGTGACCTCATGAAGCCCCTGACCACCATGTCTTGTCCCCACAGGAGAGCTACAATGCTGAATGTGAGTTTGTGGAACGTATTCATGAACTAGGTTATAACACCTACGCCTCCCGGCTGTACCGGACGGTGCCCAGCGGGCCTGGGGCCCGGCGCCAGCCCGGCACTGCCGAAAGACTATGGTACGTGTCTGTGAACGGCAAGGGCCGGCCCCGTCGAGGGTTCAAGACGCGCCGTACACAGAAGTCCTCCCTGTTCCTGCCCCGAGTGCTGGACCACAAGGACCATGAGCTGGTGAGGCGGCTCCGGGGTGGCCTGGACAGACCACCGGACAAGGGCTCCCAGGCACGGCGCCAGCGTCGGCAGAGGAAGCAGAGCTGGGGCCCCCACACTTAGCCCCCCCAGGCATAGAGAACATGCGGAAGGGAAATGCTCTGGGCTTCAAGGTCACAGACAATGAGCTCCAAGGCCGCGACTGAGCTGGACGATGTCTGTCTCCATCATCTCTGCTCATGACAGAGAGACCGTCCCTCCTCCCTAGCACCAGCCACTCTTTTCTGCTCCTGGATGGCTTTGATTTTGGGGACGAACAGAACACGTTCGCAACCCTTCTGATTTCAAGAATTCCAGCAGAGCCAAAGAGTCAGGGGAGAGGACTTCAAGGACAAGACTCTGTGCGTGGACAGGCAGGCAGCCCCTACCCTCCCCACACACACCTGCCAGGGGATCCCCTGACCCACCTGGTCCCTGTGGATGAAGGGGTCTCCCGGCACCACGCAGTACCGGGGGTGGCCTGTGTAAGTGAAACATTAAAGTATTTTATTCTACTTTGTTATTTAATAGATAATGCTTGTAGTCTCCACGGGAACTATTTGCTGGTGATGACAGGAAGGTCTGACACTCCACACCCTCTGAGGCAAGACTCTGTTCAGAGACACTGGGCTCCAGAGGCGTTTTAATCCCCTGGTTTTGAAAGTGACTGTTTTTTTTAAATGAATAGCTGGTCCGTGTGGATATAAAGAAGTGCTGCACGTAGGAGTGAGTGTACATGTGTGTGTGCCTTCCTGGGCGTGTGTGCACGTGTGTGTATGTTTATATATGTGTACATACATGTGTGTTCCTGGATGTGTGTGAATGTGTACGTGCATGTTTAAGGGTTTGTGTGTTCCTGTGAGTGTGCAGACATATATGAATGTCTGTGTGTGCTTGTGTGTGTGCATGGATAAAGCTATGTGCTTGTATTTTCCTTGTAATACCGTGACCGTGGGTGTGTTCCTGGGTGTGTATGTGTTTGTATGCATTGTTGTGTTGTTAAGTGCCATCGAGTCGATTCTGACCCATAGCGAACCTGTGTAGGGTTTCCAAGGAGCAGCTGGTGAGCTTGAACCACCAACCTTGTAGTTCAAACGGTTTTGCAGTCTGGCACATTAACCCACAGTGCCACACCAGGACTCTGTTTGCATGTGTAGGGGTATGTATTTGTGTGTTCCTGAGTGTCGTGCATGCATGAGTGTGTTTGTGTGTGTGTGGCGAGAGCTGGGTGTCTTGCTTGAGAGCACCTCCCTCCCCTCCACCCTACAGCTGTGTGCCTCGTGGACAATGCTTCGTTTTTGCCCCACATCAGGCTGGCACCCTACTTCCCCCCTGCCTCTTCATCTTTGCCACCTGCCAAAAGAGCCTTGGACATTCAGCTTTTGCCTAATAGAGGGAGCTTCCAGGCCCATCTGCTCTGGCCTGGAGCTAATTGTCCCCTGTGTCTTCCTTGACAATGGCTGTGGGTGAGTTCACCTGGGGCCCAGGTTGAGGGGTGTGGCCACAGCCTGGGCTCCCAGCACCTCCCTAGTGGTCAGGGAGTCCCACGGTCTACCCAGGTCTGGCACATGTGTGATGTGTGCAAATCTTGAAAAACACTGAGTCAGCCCACGCATTGAGTCAGATTCCCAGAAGTTGTCCCTTGTGGCCACAGCTGGGAGCGGCTGCCCACACTGGGCCTTTGCTGGAGTGACACGAGCCCCCTATATTGAGAGGGGCAGTGCTCCCATTTTACACATGAAGACACTGAGGCCTAGCATGGTGAACTCTCCCAGGATGTGTCCTTAAAAGGTGGGGTGGATATTCCATTCATACAGCCCTAGAGAGTGTGTGGGGCGTGGCCTGCTCTGACCCTCCCACCTGCCTTGTGCTCCACCCCATCTCACAAACACTTAAAGGCGGCATCAAGCGCCTGATGTCACAGAGCTCCTAGGTGGGGATTGTGGGTCCATGGGGTGTGGTCCAGCCCTAGACATCTACCTGCCCACTTGCTACAAGTAGTAAAGTGGTGACTGAGACACCAAGCACACAGCACCCCCTCCTGACCCTGGGTGCCCTGGTCTCCTCCAGCTCCTGGGGAAGGGGGAGCCAGGCCCACACCCTCAGAGACTGGGCCCCCAGCTTCCCTCTGGAGGAGAATTCCAGAGCCTCTTTGTGTCTGCAGGACCCCATCAAATCATCCACCCAGTCTTTGATCGCGGTGACCACATGTTGTCAGAGTAGAACTGTGCTCTGGAGCGTTCTCAGGGGCTGATAGTTTATAAACTGTTTGCCAGGCCTTTCTTCTGAGGTTCCTCCATGTGAGCTTGGACCTCCAACCTTTCTGTTAGAAGTCGAGTACTTCACCATTCAGGGACTCCCCCTAGAACCTGTAACCAAAACCCAAAACACCCCACTTCTCTCTAGTCCTTTCCTGTAGGACAGAGTAGAGGTGCTCCATGGAATCCCCAAGGCTGTAGGGAAAACGAGGCAGCACCTCAAGGAGATGGACTGGCACAGTGGCAACAACAATGGGCTCCTAACAATTGTGAGGAGGGTGCAGGACCTGGCGGTGTTTCGTTCTGTTGTGCATGGCAACTCGATGGCACCTAACAACAATCTTTATGGAAGGATACCGCCATGCCTTTCTCCCTGGGTGCTGATGGTGGGTTCCAACTGCCCACCTTCTGATTAGCAGGTAAATGCTTTAACCACAGAGTCACCAGGTCTCCCAGCATCATCACAGAACATGCAAATCCCCAGGGCCCTCATGACTGGAAAGTGAAGGGTGGGCATGACCTGGAGCCCCCACCTCATTGCTGATGGGAAACAGGTGACAGCAGGGGTCTAGGCTGATGGGGGTGGGATGCCCTAGAGGGAAAACAGGATGGGTAGGACCCTGTGTATACAGACCCTTCACTGGGGGGATAAGTGAACCCTCCGTTCATCCTCCTAGGCATGTGATGAAGAGTGGGCAGATGCTAGAGGCAGGCACCCACTGCCCCTGAGAAAATTACCTGGGCCAGGAAGGGATGTTTGGAGATGGCATATCTGTGGCTACAGGGACAACAACCCTATGCCAGCAGCCTCACCTGCCCATCTCCCCTTCTGTTCATACACAAAGTCTCATCATCTAAGGAACATTCTGGTTCCTTTCTTGCAACATAGATTTGTTTGTTGTTCTGACAGTCCATGGTACTTTTAATATTCTTCTCCAACAAAGACAGCAATTCTTCTATGGTCTTCCTTATTCATTGTCCAACTTTCACATGCATATGAGGTGATTGAAAACACCATGGCTTGAGTCAGGTGCACTTTAGTCCTCAAACTGACATCTTTGCTCTTGAACACTATGAGAGGTCTTGTGCAGCAGATTTGTCTAATGCACTATGTTGTTAATTTCTTGACTGCTGCTTCCATGAGTGTTGATTGTGGATCCAAGCAAAATGAAGTCTTTGACAACTTCAGTCTTTTCTCCATTTTTCAAGATGTTATTCATTGGTCTAGTTGTGAGGATCTTTGTCTTCTTGACATTGAGATGTAATCCATACTGAAGGCTGAAGTCTGTATTTTAAGTCCTCTTCACTTTCAGCAAGCAAGATTGTATCATTTGCATATCAAAGGTTGTTAATGAGTCTTCCTCCAATCCTGATGCCATGTTCTTCCTCATAGAATCCAGTTTCTCGGATTATTTGCTTAGCAGACAGACTGAATAAGCATGGTGAAAGAATACAACCCTAGTGCACAATTTTCCTGATTTTAAAACATTCAGTGTTCCTCCCATGTTGTGTTCTGCCTTTTGGTCTATGTGTAGGTTCCTCATGATGGCAAAATTAGGTCATTTTCAAACAAACAGAAATTAAAAGAATTTGTAAAAATCAGACCAACTTTACAAAAAATACTAAAGGGAGTTCATTAGACAGAGAACAAACAACAGCAGGCAACAGCCAGAGACTAACATACATGACAATATCACGTAGAACTCAACCCAGATATGGAAGTACTCAAAGTAAAACAGACCTGCTGCTAATGCTAATGCTGCTGGTGGTGGTGATGTGCCTTGGAGTCGGTTCCAACTCATAACGACCCTGTACAGGGTTTCTGAGGCTGTAAATCTTTACAGGAGCAAAGAGCCTCATCTTTCTCCCGCGGAACAGCTGGTAGTTTTGAACTGCTGACCTTGTGGTTCGCAGCCTGATTCATAACCACTGCTCTATTAGAACTCCTCACAAGACTGAAAATAAAGAACCAAAGCTGTAGTTCAACAACAACAACAAAAACCCATAAAGTAAAAAGAGAGACTAATATAGTCACGAAAATTCCAAAGAGTAAAAATGAGAAATGAACTAACCCTAACCCTAACTCTAAACCTAACCCTAACCCTAACCCTAACTCTAAACACTAGACCAAATCTTACTCTTAGCCCTAACCCAGCCCCTGCTTCTAACAGGTGGCAGTCATGGTAAGAACCCGGAAGTCCCCTCCATTGAGGGCTAACTCACCCCTGCTCTTCTGCCTCAGTTAGCACTCCCCGCACACTGCTCTGTCCACCCACACTCTTCCTTGCCCCAAGCCCTTTGCACATGCCACACACTGGGACTGCTTCCCCTTCTGCTTTTCATTTAGCCACCCCTTCTCAATCGTCACCTTCTCCACATTGCCTTCTCAGTTTTTCCCATGGCACCTTGTTCTTCTTCTCCACAGCACCAGACACAATTGTAAGCTGCTAGTTACTAAAAGTGCCATGGGCTACCAAGAGAACCAATAGATCTGTTCTGGAAGAAGTGCAGCCAGAGTGCTCCTTGGAGGCCAAGATGGCCAAACTTCGTCTCTCATACTTTGGACACATTGTCAGGAGGGAACAGTCGCTAGAGAAGGATATCATGCTTGGTAAGATGGAGGGTCAGAGAAGAAGAGGAAGACCCCAGTGAGATGGATAGGCCAGGTGGCATCATTGATGGCGTCAAGTGTGGCAGCGGTAGTGAGGTTGGCCCAGGATCAGACATTGTTTCGTTCTGCTGTGCATAGGGTCGCTATGAGTCAGTGCCAACTTGATGACACCTGACAACAACAGTTACCTGTAGGCTCATTGCTGAGGGATGAAA